GGCTGGGGTCTGCGGGTACTACCGTCGGTGGCCAGGCGGATCGAACGTACGAGAGAGCGCGGCCGTGGGGACAGGCAGAGTCAAAGGGGTGGTGCCCAGCTTCAATCCACGTCTTTTCCATTGCCCTTGCGCAAAGAAGGGGCGTCCAAAATTACCTGTAATTCCCACCTTTTCAGGCCTTTTCAGGTTTTTTGGGGGCCCTTGCCAACTCGGGGGGTGCGTCAGGAGCTGTCCCCCCCGTCCCCTTTAGCCCTCTTTTGAACCTGGAGGTAACCCTGGACTCTCCTTTGCAAGCGAGGGGGCTTCGGAGCCCCCCCCCGCTTCTGATCCGGGCCGCCCCTCGCCAGAGGGGGGTCCGACATTTCGTGTTTGAAGACATGGTGCGCCATGGTTCCCCCTTGTGAAGCAAGGGGTCTCGGTGCTAAAGGGGCTGGCGACCGAAGGCACCTTCCCCCCTATCCCCCTCTTGAAACAGAGGGTTCGCCCAGGCTCCCATTTCCAAAAGGGGGGGGCGGAAACTATGCTCCCTTCCGCCCCATGTGCCTGACAGCATCAAATCCCGCTCCCGTTGTCGTCCTACTTGCCGTTGTCGTCGCCATCGTCGTGTTCGTCGTCGTCGTGTCCGTCATTCTATCGTCGTGGTTGTTTCGTCGATGTCATCGTTCACGTCGTCCTCGTCGGCGTCACCATCGTCCTCCGATTCCCTGTCTTTCGCATCCTCATCATCTTCCTCTATTTCTTTGCCGCAGTTGTGTCGTAGTCGGTTTCGTCGCTGTCGCCGTCATCGTTCTCGTCGTCGTCATTGTCATTGTCGTCGTCATTCTCGTCGTCGTGTTCGCGTTGCTCTTCGTCTTTTCCGTCGTCGGTGTCGTGGCCGACGTCGTTCTCGTTCTTGTCGTCGTCGTTGACTTCGTCGCCGTCGTCTTTGTCGCTCGTTGCCATCGTTGTGTTAGTGGTCGTCGTGGTTGTCGTCGTCGTCGTCGTCCACGGCCGTTGTCGTCGTTGCTCTTTTTGTCGTCGTCTTCGCCGTCGTCGTTTCTGTTGTCCTCGTCGTCATCGTCTTTTTCGTCGTCGTTCTCGTCGTCGTTGTTTCGTTTTGGTGGTTTACGTCGTCGTCGTCGTCGTCTTTAGCGTCGTAGTTTTTGTGGTCGTCGGTCTCGTTGTTGTTGTTGTTGTTGTTGTTGTTGTTGTTGTTGTTGTTGAACATTATTACTTCTAAAGAATAATTATTGTTGGGACCCCTGGTGCACGACCCCCCCGCCGCGCCTAGGCCGCAGCCACGTTTTCATCATTTTCGTGAGGAAGCCTCAGGCAAAACGATGTGGTCCAGATCCGGTTGTTTTGTTGTCCCCCGCTTTCCCTTGCAAAAAAAAGCTATAAAGTGGACATTTCTTGTTCTAACATATCCAAACTTCAAGAATCCCTTGCAAAAAATAAGGTAAAGTGGACATTCGCGCGCGCAAGACGAAATCCTTCCAAAACCTTAGTTTTCGTAGCGATTTTAACATAAAAACATCAAAAAACCAATGGTTTTTCAAAAAAAAAATGTCAAAATTTCATCCCGCGCGCTCTTGCGGATTCGTAGGAAATCCAACACTTTTTAAACATTTCTGTCAAACGGGCTTTTGCTAGCAACTTTTTCGAACTTCTGCAACAACGGTTGCGCACCTGCCAGGGCCATCATCCCTGTCAAATAATACCATGCGGGACACATTCGTTTTTTCTTCGCGCGCGCACGCCGTCGTCGTCGGCCGCGGGGCCCTGAATAGTAGCCACGGTCGTCCGCATGCCACGAAGTGAAGTGTCCGAACGTCATAGGGCGGGAAGCTGGGTGTGGGTGGTGGCGAAGAGTCGTTTGGAAATTTGGTAGAGCTTGAACCGGCCCCCCCACAAAGTGGGGGTATTGCCCGCCTCCTATGAAAACCCTGGCACTGGTGAGAACGGAGTGTCCCCAGTCTTAAATGATTGTTGTTGTTGTTGTTGTTGTTGTTGTTGTTGTTGTTGTTTGCGCCGTCGTCCTCGTTGCCGTTTTCGCCGTCGCCGTCGCCGTCGCCGTCGTCGCCGCCGTCGTCGTCGTCGTCGTCGCCGTCGCCGTCGTCGTCGTCATCGTCGCCGGCGTCGGCGTCGGAAACGGCGTCGGCGTCGGCGTCGGCGTCGGCGTCGTCGCGCGGGTGGGCGAGCTGGCGGGCGTGCGAGCGGGCGGTCGGGCGGGCGCGTTGAGTGCTGGCGGGCGGGCGGTCGGGCGGGCGGCGGGTGGGCGAGCGGGTCGGGCGGGCGGGCGGGCGGGTTCGGGCGGGCGGGCGGGCGGGCGGGGGGGGGGGACGAGGGGAGCGGGGTCAGACGTCTTCCGCCCCGTGCTCGGCCACGCGGCGGGTGGGCTGGCGAGGCGTTCTTGTTGACCCTCCAGGCGTTGCCGTGTGACGTGGCGGGTCGGGTACAACACGGTCTGTTCCCGACCCCTTTCGCTGCCACGTGACGAGTAGGTCGTAGTAGTAGTAGTAGTAGTAGTAGTAGTAGTAGTAGTAGTAGTAGTAGTAGTAGTAGTAGTAGTAGTAGTAGTAGTAGTAGTAGTAGTAGTAGTAGTAGTAGTAGTAGTAGTAGTAGTAGTAGTAGTAGTAGTAGTAGTAGTAGTAGTAGTAGTAGTAGTAGTAGTAGTAGTAGTAGTAGGTAGTAGTAGTAGTAGGTAGGTAGGTAGTAGTAGGTAGGTAGTAGTAGTAGCAGCAGCAGCAGCAGTAGTATAGTAATCGTAAGTAGTAGTAAGTCAGTATAGTAGTAGTAGTAGTAGTAGTAGTAGTAGTAGTAGTAGTAGTAGTCGTAGTAGTAGTAGTAGTAGTAGTAGTAGTTAGTAGTAGTAGTAGTAGTAGTAGTAGTAGTTAGTAGCAGTAGTAAGTAAATAGTAGTAGTAGTAGTCGTAGTAGTAGTAGTAGTAGTAGTAGTAGTAGTAGTAGTAGTAGTAGTAGTAGTAGTTGTAGTTGTAGTAGTAGTAGTAGTAGTAGTAGTAGTAGTAGTAGTAGTAGTAGTAGTAGTAGTAGTAGTAGTAGTAGTAGTAGTAGTAGTTTGTTTTTCTGTCACCTGCGTTGCCACGCTGCGCGTATGTGAGAACTGTTCGTTGAGCCCCTGAGGCGTTGCCATGTGAACGGTCGAGCAGGGAAGGGTTTTTGTTCTGCACCCCTGCGTTGCCACGTGACGTGTAGAGTAGAATCGTTTGTTTTCCGCCCCCGCGCGCTGCCACGTGTCGAGAGTCGACTGCCGGGGACTTCCGAAGGATTTCATACATATTCCGACGGCGAATGATTTGCTTCTGCGGGTTCCGGTTAGTGTCCATTGGATTCTCAGGATTGGGGTCTTCGTAGGGCCCGACAATGAAGGGACGTGGGAGGAGCGGGGGTTCTTCTGGGGATGTCAAGTCCGACGAAGGTATCTATCTATACACAACCACGGTGCCAGGCCAGGGCCATCTTGGGCCCCAGGATGGTGTACAGACCCTCCTGGTCTCGGCCAGGATGGCGTATACACCATGCCAGGGCCAGGATGGCCCTGGCCTTGCACGGTGGTGGCGTATAGATGCCTTCTGCGAATCAGTAGGGTGTGTGCGTGGGGGAATCTTTCTAGTGGCCAGAACGGAAAGATGTGAATGGGGGGTTTCTGGGGCGGGAGGGGAAAGCTAATGGCGGGGAGGCTGGGATAACTCTGGCGGGGCGAAACAAGGGGGAAGGTGGAGGGTGGGGCAGAAGGGGAACAGGGGGCAAGGAGGAACTTCAGGGACGGGGGGGTGGTGGGGGTGGGGGGGGAATGAAGGGGGGCGAGCTTCTGCTGGGCGCAAAAGAGGGGCGGAGGTCTTCGGAACGAGGGCGCCCCAAGGGAGGGGGAAGGGCAGGGGACCCCTCCTCTCGCGCTGTCCCCCCTGTGCGCGCTCTCTCGAGCCTACGACTGTCCATTCTGTCACATGGCCCAGCACTTGGAGCATGGGTTTGAGGAATCTACGCTGCAGCTGTTGTTTGACCATTGCTCTGCACGGCGGTCGGAAACAGTTGCGTATCGATCGGCCTTCGGCCCATCCCGCCACTGTGCCCGGGTTCCAGGTCAGAGGCCCCTCGGGGCCCTCTCGGCCCGTCTTGGGGCGCCCGTGGTTCCGAAAGAATCACGCGGGATGCGCGGGGGAACCGCGGGAGGCACGCCAGGATTCTGGAAATCTGAAGATTTTGGGCTTGGTTGTTTTATATTCAATCCTGACAAATGGGGACTGGGGGCTACAAGAAACCTGAGGGCCCTCCAACTCGTGCGTCGCAGCACGGTGGCGGACATTCATGCGAAAGGCAGTTTCCATCCAAGCGAGGCCAATGACGCTTACCGTCGATTCGTGATGTCTGGTGTCTTTTCAAAGCAATGCCTGAATATGCCACCATCTTGTAATATTTGTGGCTCACGGTTTTCGGCGATTCCGCATCATCATGTTCCAGGAAATATGTGGGTTGCTAAATGTGAATATATCAGGCGTTTGATTCCTCCGTCAGCGTTCGCGGGAGAAATGGACCGGATGAAGTTGAGTTGTTCTGATATCGAGCTTGCCAGTTGCAGCCCGTATTGTAAGAGAGTCCTAGAGAGTAAGTTTGATTGGAAGGTGGGAGCGGGCCGTTATGCGGCGGAGCACTGGGTGGCCTCGCATCCGACCGTCCAGCCCTGCGACGTATATGCTGGGCCTTACAGGCGGGGCCGTGACTCGGCACCGCCGGGCGGCTGGGCGCCCGACCTGAGTCCGGCCCCGCGGTTCGGAATTGCCGCTGATGCAGATAAAAACGGCATTTGGAATTGGCGTCTGATGGAATGGAGGAAGCTGTACAACGCGTCTCCGGAGGTCAACCATTGGTCAAACACATATTATCGGGGGTTCCGTTGATTTCGGCCGCGGAAGCGCGCGATGGAAACACTGCTGTTCGGAGTTGAGGAGTGCGATCTGTCTTGACCATTGCACGACGAGCATCGGGGAGCGACTCTGGGAGTGGTGGCGAAGTCCTGGGAGCTCCTGAAGGTCTCCGTGCACTGCACCTGCACGACCCTCTCAAACGTGAGCGCCCAGCGGATCCAGGCCTCAAGCTCGATACGCACAGAAGGATGTTTGCCGAGTCGCGCATCCCCACTAACCTTTCCAAGAGTCCAAGAGCGAGTCTTAGGCGAGTTGCAGTGAGCAGGGGCGTGAAGTAGCATCACTCGAGCGCGTGTACAGAATAGAGCCGTCAAGCCAGATGACATGATGAGGTGTCAGTACGAGCAGCTCCCAAACACGGTCGCTTGAGGCGCCCTGGGAGCTGCTTGTAGGGTTTTTGGGAGTTGTCCCGGGGTTCCCTTGGGGTCACGCTGGCATGACCTGGCAACCAGCACCCAGCCTATGCGGCCCTCAGACGTCTCGGGTTGGAATTCCAGGAGGGGGGGTGGGGCCAGTGTTTTGTGTTGTTGGATGGGGGTCCCTGCTCGTACGGGAGCCCCCCTCGGGGTTCGACAATTCGCACCCTTACCTATAGCACATTCCTCCTCCCTACAGGTGAGGCCAGCGCCTTGAAAGCAATTTGCGTCGCTGGTTTGGAGCCCGAACCATTGTGTCTTGGGGCAGTCTTGGCACTCTCTGGGGGCCTCTTGAATGCTTTTGGGGCCCTTCGATGGTACTCCTTCACCATCTCGGGGCTCTCCATGGAGGCCTCCTAGCCCGATCGAAAATAGAAAAGGCGAAAGTGGCACACTCTCCGATGTGTTTCCAATGTTTTCGGGCTCTCGGGGGCTTCCTTGGCAGGCTCCGTGGCGACCGTGAGTCATGTCTGGACCGTCTTAGGGCCTGTTTATGCAATGCTGGACGCCATCTTTGCACAACTTCGTCCATCCAGCGCCATTTTGGACGGACTCCGACGCTGTCTGTGGCCATGTTGGAGCCATCGAGGGCAACTTTGAGCTCTCGAACGTCCCGCGCTCCCTCCAGTCCAGACCTCCAGGGAGGGGGTATATGGAGGGGTACCCCCTCCCGGAAGGGCTGCCGTCAGAAGCCAAATCGTCCCACAATATGGAAGGTCAAGTACGCAGAGAGTAGATCTCAGTGTTTTGTCCTCACCCGACAGGTTTTTTGGCTGTTCGATCGCGAGAGTGAGTTTCCCGACCCTCCTCGCCCGCCCTGCAAACCGCGGTCTCCAGGCCCCAGGACTTCAGGTGGTCACCTCGCTCGCCCTACAAACCGCGCCACACAGGCCTCAAGGCCCGGCCCGCCTTGCATGCCGTGGCCGCCAAGCCACAGAGATTCCCGTGAGTCGAATGACGACACGATGAACAAGCATATAGATCACCCGGCGCGACCCCAATTAGGGGAACGCTTCCTAAGCGGCGTTGTTTAGAAGTGCTTGGCATGGCATTGCTTTACATTGTATTGCATGTGCTTCGCATTGTTTTGCATTGCTTGGTATTGCTGCAACGTACGCCCCCCGAGGCACCAACCATTAAACAAGTAAACATCTCTTAGGCAAACCGAATTGGGGAAGTAAGCATAACTAACAGAACCCCAGGAGGAAGGCATCACGGCGTCACGGCGTCTAGGCGTTACCACGACACGCCGCCCACACATGTCTAGAACCTACTCATATAGGGTACGGCAGGAGAGTGCATCTCGAAGACCGCTTACATAACTAACGTGTAATAGGAACACGTAAGAACGGCATATACCAATGAGAGAACTCACCACACACATTAAGCGCATCCACCAGCTACATGCACCACCATCATACGCTCATAACGTGCATCGTGACCATACGCCATCGATATAACCCAAACGCGAAACAATCACCGTTACCAATACAGCACATTGATACCATTCGTCAATACCAAACGTCCATCCCAAAAAGCGTGCACCACTAGTATACACCAGTCACCGCACCAACACTAATAGTACACCCCAGACACGGACATACACCACGAACAGGCATCACCAAGATACATCAATGACATATTTGACGGATGTTCGCTACCACCATATACTAAGAGCAAGGATCACGCACATAAGCCAACAACTCACACCACTCATATAATGAAGGGCATGCGATAATCGTTTACACTATTAACCAACATACATCCATATCGAGTGCCTGTACCACACATCACTACGACACACCAAACGTACATTGCAATGTTAGATGTCACCAGTGATACAGAGCATGCGCCAATACTACACATTGATACAGCACATCCGGAACGTACATCAAGGTCCAACATCACGACCAAGCAGTGATACTACACAGCTTCAAACACTAAAACTTTCTGCTGGGTCGCTCGCAACCAGCTATCTCCCGCGACGGTGGTCTCCCCCCCTCGTCTGCCTCCTTTTTCCTCCACGCCTCCCTTGTCCAACCGTCTGCCTCCTGCTTTATTTGTTAACCCTCCTGTGATGGGTTCTCGGATTGATAGCGTTGCTCGCGCGTCTCCCTTCTCCTTCTCCTCCCTTCTCCTTCCTCCTCCTGTCTTAATTGTTCAGGGGTTGCCTTGACTGGCCGACTAATCGCAAGGCCTGGGAGTCCGTTTTCAGGACTGTTGGTAAGTGTCGAAAGTTTCTCTGGCGGACGGTCTCGGGGCCCATTTCGGCTATGTACCTGTCCTTAGTCCACATCGGGTGGCCGAGTCTGCTTGGTTTGTGGCGAGCTCAGCAGGCGCCGATCGCTCGGCGATCCCTAGACTTTGTGTGGATTCGATCACCCTGGCCTTGGGGTCGAAGAAGTGGTCTGTGTTCGAGAAACGCTGTCTCCGTTCGCTTGTGCGCAATGCTCTCTGGACCAACTCGCATGCGAAAGCTAAGGGGTACCAGGTAGATGTCTGCTGCCCGCTTTGTAAGGCTGCCAAGGATTATTTATTTCATAGTCTCTGGGGATGCAGCGCTTGTGCTGGGCTTCGGCAGGAAATGGTTAGCAACGGGAAAGTTTTCTGCCTCTCGCTGCAAAGGAGCCTGGGTCCCTGGCTTTGGTCGTCTTCAACTCGGGCACCTTCTCCCCACCCTGGAGACTTTGTCCCTGGGCCGCTGAAGCAAAACGGGATGGACCACGCTCTCGCGGAATACTTCGAGGAGGGATTCCAGGAGGCGGGTCTGAGCTTCGGGAGGGTGGGCGACCTTCGGTTTTCGGACCACGTTTTTCTTGACGGTGGCTGCTTCAGCTCGGCCGCGAAAGAGTCGTCGTGAGCGGGCTGGGCCTTTTGCGAGGGCAGCTGATGATGGCTCCCTCCTCGGCTGGGGTCACAGGCGGCCTGGATTAGTAGGTCGACCCTGCCAGATCAAGGGTACCCTCGTGTTCGGGCGAATAGAGCTATGCACATGCACCTGCACCGATCCTGACAACGTCCATCCTTGACCCAGGATCGGTACATATACCTTCCTGGGCAAGGTCAGAGGGCGTATGCACCGATCCTGGGCTCAGGATGGGCCTGGCCAGAATCGTTGTCAGAGTGAGGGGGCCGAATGGTCATTCACTGTCCCTGGGTGCGTGGCTGAAGTGGAATTCCGCGGTGCGGATTCTCGTTGTTGTTGTTTGTTGTTGTTTGTTGTTGTTTGTTGTCGTCGTCCCACCCGCAACCCGCCCCTCGACCCACCCGCGACCCACCCCGCGACCCACCCCGCGACCCACCCGCAACCCACCCGCGACCCACACGCGACCAAACCCGCGACCCACCCCGCGACCCACCCCGCGACCCACCCCGCGACCCACCCCGCGACCCACCCCGCGACCCACCCCGCGACCCATCCCGCGACCCGCCCGCGGCCCACCCCGCGACCCACCCGCGACCCACCCGCGACCCACCCGCGACCCACCCGCGACCCACCCGCGACCCACCCCGCGACCCACCCGCGACCCACCTTCGACCCAAACCACGTTCAAGGTACAAACCACCATTTTCGGCGCCTGCGGCGGGCTTTTTTTGCATTCCTTCCAGGTGGAGAGCCCGCGACCCACCCCGTGACCAACTCGCGACCAACCCGCGACCCAAACCACGTTCAGGGTACAAACCACATTTTTCGGCGCCTGCGGCGGGCATCTTTTGCATTCGTTTCAGGTGGAGAGCCCGCGGCCCACCCGCGACCACGTTCAGGGTACAAACCACATTTTTCGGCGCCTGCGGCGGGCATCTTTTGCATTCGTTCCCGGTGGAGAACCCGCGGCCCACCCGCGACCCAAACCACGTTCAGTGTACAAACCAATTTTTTTGGCGCCTGCGGCGGGCTGCTTTTGCATTCCTTCCAGGTGGAGGTGGAGAGCCCGCGACCCACCCGCGACCTAAACCACGTTCACTGAACAAACCAATGCCGCACAAGCGCGGCGGCGGATTTTTGCATGCCGTCTGAGCCCGCAAGGACCTCTTCAAGCCCCGCGCATCCACACCAGCCCGTCCAGCAACTCTGCCCTGGCGAGTTGCCTTGATCAGAGAAGGCGGGGAGCATAAAGTGGAAAAAAGGATTGCGTTGCAGTTATCTTGGGAAAGGAGGGGGAGGCAGGAGGAGTAAACAGGGGACGAGGAGAACGCGGAAGAAGAGAGGATGTAAGGAGAATGTGGAGAAAGAAAAGGAGGAGGAGCAGGAGGACGACGAGGAGGGGGAGGAGGAGGACGGATGATGATGATGATGATGATGATGATGATGATGATGATGATGATGATGATGATGATGATGATGATGATGATGATGATGATGATGATGATGATGATGATGATGATGATGAATGATGATGATGATGATGATGATGATGATGATGATGATGGACGACAATGGGAGGACGATGATGGAGGCCGATGAGGGGGAGGACGACAATGGGAGGACGATGATGAAAGGACGAGGGGGGGAGAGGGAGGACGAGGAAGAAAGGAGGAGGAGGAGGGAGGAGGAGGAGGATGACGATGACGATGAGGACGAGGACGAGGAAGAGGAGGAGGAGGAGGAGGAGGAGGAGGAGGTGGAGGAGGAGGAGGAGGAGGAGGAGGAGGAGGAGGAAGAGGAGGAGGAGGAGAGCGCCATCGACAGGGAAGGTGGGGGCCACGAGGTCCGCTGGCTCGACGACGCCCGCGTCGCCCGCGCCCGCCCCCTCACTCTTATCCGCAATTGCGGGGTGCTACGTATGTGCGTAGTTCTCTTTCCTCTACGTGTCCTCTGTCTTGCGACCCATGCCTCCTGCATTCCTGTGGCGCTGTGGCCCCCGGAAGGGTCTCGTGTCCTCTCGCGCGTCCTGTCCAATAAAGCCCGACTGCATGGGCCTGTGTCCTCCCAGTGCCCCCCCGAGGCCCTCGAGCGGGAGGGTCCTCCTCCTCTGCTGCTGCCGGCGTCAATTTGGATGACCCCGCGGTCCTCTATTCCGGCTGTGTTAAGTGTGGTTCGGAGGGGGATAGACCTCCTACCCTGACACGTCGATTCAGGAATTGGCCGTTGTCGGTTCGCGAGAGGGCGTCGCGGCCGTCACTTTTGCGGGTCCAGGTCCGTCGGTTTCGGTCCCAGGCCGTTTTCATTAAGGGGAGGTTTACTAAATGGAGGTTTTGAAGGGGCCCTGGGACACACAAATAAATACACACAAAATTAGCCTGGCGAAGGACCCAACCATATGCAGTTGTGAATGCCGCAATTGTGCTGGGTGGTGGCGGACGCATGCGGGCGCAGCCACTGGGGCCTTCGGTGGAGCTCCCTATGGGGCCACGAAGCGCTGTACTGGGTGGGTGAGACGCGGTCAGCAAGGGCTGTGCTGCGTGGTGGCGGACGCATGCGAGCGGTGCCACTGGGACCTTCGGTGGAGCTCCCTATGGGGCCACGAAACGCTGTACTGGGTGGGTGAAACGCAGGCAGGGAGCAAGGGCTGCGCAGGGTGGTGGCGGACGCATGCGGGCGGTGCCGCTGGGACCTTTGGTGGAGCTCCCTATAGGGCTACGAAGCGCTGTTCTGGGTGGGTGAAGCGCAGGGAACAAGGGCTGTGCTGGGTGGTGGCGGACGCAAGCGGGCAGTGCCACTGGGACCTTTGGTGGAGCCCCCTATGGGGCCACGAAACGTGCGAGGGGTGTGCCAGAATGGGGTGTGGAACCGCATGCCAGCGCAGCCACTGGGGCCTTCGGTGGAGCTCCCTATGGAGCCACGAAACGTGTGAGGGGTGTGCCGAAATGGGGGGGGAACCGCATGCGAGCGCAGCCACTGGGGCGTTCGGTGGAGCTCCCCATGGAGCCACCCACGAACGTGTGAGGGGTGTGCCGAAATGGGGGGTGGAACCGCATGCGAGCGCAGCCACTGGAGCGTTCGGTGGAGCTCCCTATGGGGCCACGAACGTGTGAGGGGTGTGCCAGAATGGGGGGTGGAACCGCATGCGGGCGCAGCCACTGGGGCCTTCGGTGGAGCTCCCTATGGGGCCACGAAACGTGTGAGGGGTGTGCCAGAATGGGGGGTGGAACCGCATGCGGGCGCAGCCACTGGGGCCTTCGGTGGAGCTCCCTATGGGGCCACGAACGTGTGAGGGGTGTGCCAGAATGGGGGGTGGAACCGCATGCGGGCGCAGCCACTGGGGCCTTCGGTGGAGCTCCCTATGGGGCCACGAAACGTGTGAGGGGTGTGCCAAATGGGGGGTGGAACCGCATGCGGGCGCAGCCACTGGGGCCTTCGGTGGAGCTCCCTATGGGGCCACGAAACGTGTGAGGGGTGTGCCAGAATGGGGGGTGGAACCGCATGCGGGCGCAGCCACTGGGGCCTTCGGTGGAGCTCCCTATGGGGCCACGAAACGTGTGAGGGGTGTGCCAGAATGGGGGGTGGAACCGCATGCGGGCGCAGCCACTGGGGCCTTCGGTGGAGCTCCCTATGGGGCCACGAAACGTGTGAGGGGTGTGCCAGAATGGGGGTGGAACCGCATGCGGGCGCAGCCACTGGGGCCTTCGGTGGAGCTCCCTATGGGGCCACGAAACGTGTGAGGGGTGTGCCAGAATGGGGGGTGGAACCGCATGCGGGCGCAGCCACTGGGGCCTTCGGTGGAGCTCCCTATGGGGCCACGAAACGTGTGAGGGGTGTGCCAGAATGGGGGTGGAACCGCATGCGGGCGCAGCCACTGGGGCCTTCGGTGGAGCTCCCTATGGGGCCACGAAACGTGTGAGGGGTGTGCCGAAAGCCACTGGGGCCTTCGGTGGAGCTCCCTATGGGGCCACGAAACGTGTGAGGGGTGCCAGAATGGGGGGTGGAACCGCATGCGGGCGCAGCCACTGGGGCCTTCGGTGGAGCTCCCTATGGGGCCACGAAGCGTGTGAGGGGTGTGCCAGAATGGGTGTGGGAGGGGGAGGAGGGGGGAGGAAGGGGAGGAGGATGAAGGAGGAGGAGGAAGGAACGCGGGGCGACGTCTCTTCAAAACGAGGACCCAACACCACAGGATGGTTGGGAAAAGTGGAGTCCCCATATTTTCCCATATCTTCTGGGGTTTCGTCTTCACCCCCACTTCCCATTTTCTCCCATATTTTCCTGAGAGTCGACGATTAATTGTGTCTGTTTTTTTTTTTTTTTTCCCCCCCCGGAGGTCTGTCCACCGCCGAGGGGTCTCCGGGTGCGCTCGAGCTCCTCCTGGCACGCCTCTTGGGGAAGGGAGCCTGCGTGGCTCGGTCCCGGAGGGCTTCTCGTGCGCCTTGGGAGAAAATCGGGGTCCTCCTCCTCCTCCTCCTCCTCCTCCTCCTCTCCTCCTCCTCCTCCCTCCTCCTCCTCCTCCTCCTCCCCCCCTGATCCTCCTCCTCCTCCTCCTCCTCCTCCTCCTCCTCCTCCTCCTCTCCTCCTCCTCCTCCTCCTCCTCCTCCTCCTCCTCCCCCTGATCCTCCTCCTCCTCCTCCTCCTCCTCCTCCTCCTCCTCCAGTTGTGCAGTTCGTTGCTCATGGGCAGCTCGACGGCGCAGCTGGTTCAGACGAGGGGCGCTTCTGGAGGAGGGGGCATCGCTCTGCGGACGCCGCCGCGAAGAGGGAGGGCCGCCGCTCACGCCCTGCCCGATCCCGAAGGCCAGGGAAGGATACTCTTCTGTCCCCGGGCATCTCAGGCTGTGGTCAAGATGGCCTGCAGCGCTTTTTGCCTCTACGGCCTGGGTGTGGCGTGTCCGAGGCTGAGTACGTCAAGCCGCCTCCTCGGCCTCGTGCGGGCGCCCTGGTTCATGATTGGACTTGGGCCGCCTCTTTCTGGCAATGCCGATTTCGCCTCCAGGGTAAGCGCGGCGTCGATCGCCCGCCGCCAGGCGGATGTCCCGAGCCTCTTGGGTGGAGGGCTGAACAGAATGCTCAGATGGAGCATGGGTATGCTGTTGTGGGCTGCGCCGACGATTCCGTCCTGTGCATCCGTCTCGACTGCCATTTCTATAGCACGGGTGGTCGAGTGGTGAAGTTGGGAGAGCCTTGCGAAGGCAAAGAGGTGCCTGGAGCTGGTCGCAATGCTTGGCGGTATTTCCGGAGTGGCAAGCATCCCCAGCAGAACAAGTGGGAGTGAAATGCGCAGTTCTTTCCCTTCCCTGGGACGGCATGACAGCTGCCATCGAGAAGGCATCGCGGTGACAAAAAACTCACTCCTTCTCCCCATCCTCCTTTGACGCCTCCTGCCTCCTCCTTCGCCTGTCTCCTCCTGCGTCCTGCGCGTTCCGTCGGGGTCTGCGGACTGCGCAGATGTCGCCACTCTCGTGGGTTGCTAGGTCGACTGGAGCGGAGGCACACGTGAGCCTGGCCGAGACCTCGCGGTGCCCCGGCTGGCTGCAGAGCGCAACCGTCGCCGCCTTCGTGGGCTCTCCGGAGGTCGATCGGGGTGGAGGCACACGCGGATCCGGCCGAGGCCTCGCGGCGCTGCCGCGGGCTGCGAAGCGCGCAGCCGTCGCCACTCTCGTGGGCTCGTGGGAGGTCCGGCGGGGTGGAGGCGCGCGCGGATCCCGCCGAGGCCTCGCGGCACCGGGGGGTGGCTGCGAGGTGCGCCGCGGTCTCGCCGCCGCCGTGGGGGCTCCCGGGAGGTCGCGAGGAGCGGAGAGGCACGCGCGGGCCCGACCGAGGCCTCGGAGCGCAGCTCCGGGTGGGGAGGGGGTGCGAAGGGGAGGACGAGCGATGGAGGGGAGGCGTGTTGCCAAGCGATTTCCAGCCGTCGAAAACACGTGTGGACCATGCTCTAAACATGTGTGATGTCAACACATTTTGAACTCCATGATAGAACTGTTGGGGTGTCCATTGTCGTGGCATCCGCAGTGCCAGCGGGGTGGGGGCACGCGCGGAGCCCGGCGAGGCATCGCGGCTCCGTCGGGGCTCGCGAAGTTCGCAGCCGTCGCCGCTGTCGTGGGCCCCGGCGAGGTCCCGCGGGGGGGTGGCGTTGGATGCGCACCCAGCCGAGTCCTCGCGGCTCCCTTTGTGCGGCTGCGCAATCGTCGCCACTGTCGTGGGTCGTGGGAGGTCCAGCGGAGGGCGCTGGAGCGGCACGGAGCGCATTGCGGTGTCTTCAGTCGCCCACTGGTTCCCCCTCCTCAAGCGCCCGTCGCCCGCTGCAGCACAACGGGCGAACCCAGCAAATGTAGCGCATGGCGTTGTTACCCTCGACAGTATTTCTCGGATCTCCATCGTCCTTGTCCTCCCCCCTCCTCCTTCTTTCCTCCTCCCTCTCCGCTCCTGTCCCCCGTTCTACTCTGCGCAGGTGCCGCGCGTAGCCCGACGTTGGTTCGCGACGCCTTCCCGAGATTGGCACATCTCGCAGATGCTCTTTGGCACGTCGAGTTCACACACATGGTCACCTCACGTGCAGAATTCGGTCGGCACGCCTGGGATCATGTTCCTGTAATTTTTGCCAGGCTTCACTCACGCTGTGTTCTGTGCGTTGTGCAGCGATGCGTTGCACACAGGCTCAATCTCGGGAGGCCCCGGGCGCCCACGAAGAACAGGAGCGAGGACGTCTTCTGGCAACGTTCTTTGTGTGGCTTTCCTAGTCCGCACTGGGATTCTGGCGGTTTCCGGCAGGCTTCGGGAGACTTCCGGGGACGTCCTCATTTTTGTCACAGTGCATCCCTCACCCATTCTTCGTTTTCCTTCTCGTCGTCCTGCTCGTTCCGCCCATCCGCAGCCGTTTTGGCTCAAGCCGTTGATTGCTCAAGCAGCCAAGTGGCTCGACGAATCTTGGCTCAGCTGCTCGAGCTGTGCCTCTTTCGCTGCCACGGGCAACCGCCGCAGCTTTTCTGATTTCTCGTGATTGCGACTGCCCAAAGCGATGGTGGACGCTGGAGGACGTGCGCGAACTTAGTGCATTTCGCACAGTGTGACTTTCTTCGTGTTTATAGGGCTTCCCTGCAACGCAACTGGTTGTTGGAATATGTTGGACAGTAGCCATTATCTGGCCCCGAGCGAAACTCTTCCCGACGAGGTCTTGGGGTATTCGGGATTCCATCGGGAACGGGTGGGGAGGACAAGGATACGGCGGCGGAGCAGGAAGGGGTAGATGCCGGGTATATGGAAGAAGAGGATGTTGCAGGGGTATCAGTAGGGGAAGAAACACACAAACACAATATCATGATGCTATGACAGTGACGGCGATGATGGTAATGATGGTCTTAATGATGATGCTGATGATGGTGATTATGATGATGATGATGATGGTCATGACCATGATCATGATGATGAGATGATGATGATGATGATGATGATGATGCGGATGATGATGATTATGATGATGCTGATACGAATGATGATGCTGATTGTTGGTGGTGGTGATGATGATGTAGAGGATGGTGGTCATGACGATGATGGTGGTGATGGTAATGGTCATGGTGCTTGTGATGATGATGACCGCGATGCTGCTGATGATGATGAGGATGAGGATGAGGATGATGATGGTGATGACGATGATGATGCTGATTATGATGAGTACGATGAGTGTAATGATATTGATGTTGATGTTTATGGGAACGCTGATACTGACGCTGAAGATGATGCTGATGATGATGGTGATGATGGTGAGGATGGTGATGATGCTGCTGCTGATGATGATGATGGTGGTGGCGATGATGATCTTGATGACTGATGCTCAGGATGATGATGCTGCTGATGCTGATGATGACGATGATGATGATGATGAGGATGATGGTAATTCTGGTGGTGATGATGTTGATGATGGTGGTGCTCTTGATGATTATGATAATGGCTGCTCCTGCTGCTTATGATGATGATGGTGGTGATGATGCTGCTGCTGATGATGACGATGACGATGTCGTTGACGATTACGATGATGGTGATGATGGTGGTGATGATGATGACGATGATGATGATAATGATGGTGGTGGTGGTGATGATGATACTGATGATGACGATGATGAGTTTGGTGATGATGGCGGTGATGCTGATGCTGATGCTGATGCTGATGCTGATGCTGACGATGATGATGATGATGCTGATGATGATGATGATGCTGATGATGTTGATGATGATGATGATGATGATGATGGTGTCGGTGATGGTGACGGTGATGGTGATGGTGATGCTGCTGATGATGATGGTGATGCTGATAATGCTGATGATGATGATGCTGATGATGATGATGATGGTGATGATGGTGATGATGATGAAGAAAATGATGATGATGATGATGATGATGATGATGATGATGATGATGATGTTGGTGATGGTGATGGTGATGGTGATGGTGATGCTGCTGATGATGATGGTGATGCTGATAATGCTGATGATGATGCTGATGATGATGATGATGATGATGATGATGATGGTGATGATGGTGAGGATGATGAAGAAAATGATGATGATGATGATGATGATGATGATGATGATGATGATGATGATGATGATGATGATGATGATGATGCTGATGATGATGATGATGCTGATGCTGATGCTGATGATGAGCTGATGATGATGATGATGATGATGATGATGATGATGATGCTGATGCTGCTGATGATGATGATGATGATGATGATGATGATGATGATGATGATGATGAACATCATCATTACCATGACCATGATCATGATTGTGATGATGATAGTGGCGGTGGTGGCGATGGTGATGGAGACGGTGGTGGTGATTGTGGTGGTAATAGTAGTGGTGGTGATGATGGCGATGCCGATGCCGATACCACCGCGCCGACGAGCACGACGCCGTACACCGCACCGCCGCCCCAGAGCCGCAGAGCCCGGCGGCGGCGGCCGCGCGCCTCGCGCGCGGGCCGCTGGCGGGCGATGCTCGCCGGCCAGCGCGCGCCGGCGCGCGGCGCGCCGGCGGCCGCGGGCCGCGGCCGGGTGCTGCTGCGGGCGGCGGCGCCCCTGGCGGAGGGGCGCCCCGTGGCAGTCGACGGCTCCGTGCTCGAGGTCAGTGTTGGTGGGCTGTTTTCCGCTACCATTAGCAGAAGTTGGAGGGGGGAAGGAGGAGGAGGTGGTGGAGGAGGAGGAGGAGAAGGAGGAAGAGGAGGAGGAGGAGGAAGAGGAGGAGGAGGAGGAGGAGGAGGAGGAGGAGGAGGAGGAGGAACCCCTCCCCCTCCAACTTATGGTGGTGGTGGTGGTGGTGGTGGTAGTGGTCGTGGAAAACAGGCCCATCAAGTGTCGTCTAACAGATGTCCAGCCCCACTGGCATGGCCTTGGTCGGCCCCACTGGCCGATTTTTCTCCCTGAGTGGGGATCTACGCTCTTTCCTTCGGGTTTCGCGGTGCCTATCCTCGACAAGGGGGATGGGTTGGCGGATTCCTCGGACCGGCGCCGGGGCCCCCTGGCGGCGCCTCCGGCGCCGCCCCTGGCGCGCTCCGCGCGCCGCGCCGATTCCAAGAATCCGCGCGGACCTCCGAGTTGTTAGGTTTATTTTTACATCGGGCACGTCCCCCTACAGGAGGAGTATTCAAAAATAGTTGAAGACAAAAAACTAGTCTGGTGACGATTTGTTCTTTATATATATATATATATATATGTATATACCATTTTTTGACTTATTTTGATTTTTTGATTATTTCCCATTTTTCGCCCAAAGCCCGTCTGTAGGGGGACATGCCCGACCTGAGTTGATTCTGTCGGTTATTCCCTAAATGGTACCTCAGCCCCGCCCGCCCACCCCACCAGTCGGGGATCGGCCCCGCGAAACCCGAAGGGAAGACCATATGTCCCCACCCAGGGGGGCAGATCGGCCAGTGGACCAACCAAGGCCATGCCAGGGATGTGGATGCGGATGGGTTTCAACGGTAAATCGGGCACGTCCCTCTACAGGAGGACTCTTCAAACATAGTCAACAAAAACAGTTAGGGGACGACTGTTGGATTCTTTGTTTGACCACTGTCGATATTTTGTTGGGTTCTGCCTCATTCTTCGCCCGAGATCCGCCTGCAGGGGGACATGCCCGACCCAAGTTTGACGCTGCTCACGAGGGCGGGGGGCAGATCCTGCGGATGTCGGCCGCGTACGCGGCCCTCTTCGGCGTGCCCGTCTCGGGTCGGGCGAACGGGGGCGGCCCAGAGCTCCGAGGCTCGGTTTCCCGAGTGCCTTCTGGTGCCGTGCCCTCGCTCTGAAGCGACAGCGCCCCGCGCCTCCTTCCTTCCCTCCTGCTGCTCAGTATCGTTTATCCGACCCCCATCCCCGTCCCCATCCCCTTCGAGACCCCCACCAAATTACCCCCCCAGTTGGGGATGCACCCCTCGAAACCCGAAGGGGACGACCTATATCCCCATCTAGGGGGGTTAAATCGGCCAGTGGGGCCCAGGCCACGCCGCTGGGGATGGGGATCGGATAAACGATACGCAGCTGCCCCCCTCCCTCCTCGAATCCTTGCCTCTGCCCTCCGCGTGTCCGCGCCGGCACCCTGGAGGAGCTCCACCGAAGGCCCCAGTGGCCGCGTTCGCATGGCACTGACGCGCCCATTTCGGCGCACACCTCACACGTTTCGTGGCCCCAGAGGGAGCTTCCCCGAGGGCCCCATTGGCTGCGTTCGCATGGCACTGACGCGCCCATTTCGGCACACACCTCACACGTGTCGTCGCCCCATAGGGAGCTCCACCGAAGGCCCCATTGGCTGCGTTCGCATGGCACTGACGCACCCATTTCGGCACACATCTCACACGTTTCGTGGCCCCACAGGGAGCTCCACCGAGGGGTCCAGTGGATGCATTCGCATGGCACCGCCGCACCCGTTTCGGCACACCTCCCACACATTTCGTGGCCCCATAGGTTGTTCCACCGAAGGTTCCAGTGGCTGCGTTCGCATGCCACCGCCGCAGCTATTTCGGCACTCCCCTCACACGTTTCGTGGCCTCAAAGGGAGCTCCACGGACGGCCACAGCGGCTGCGTTCGCATGGCACCGACGCGCCCATGTCGGCACACCTCTCACACGTTTCGTGGCCCCAAAGGCTGTGATTGGCTTAGGTGGTTCGAAGGGGCCTTCTGTTAAAACCATCGAAATCCATAATAAGTTTGGGGCCAATGGTTATACACAAGTCAAATTCAGTGTTGTTAGAATCTTGAAGTTCGGAAGAATTTGGAAACATTTCTGCGGCGAAGAAGTTCCGAATATCTGGAGCGCGTGTGCACCTTTCGTGAACTCCCGAGTTTGTTTTCAGCTTTGCCGAACTGTTTCCAAACTATTTCCAAACTTTTTACGAACTTTGAACCTTGATTCGAACTGCTTCCAAACTCTTTTCACACAGTTGTTTTCTGGGAACTTCCCCTGAGCGTTTGACCTGTTTTCGAACTCCTGCTTTCCCTAGTTTCCGGCCTCGAACTTCTGAGCTTCCCTCCGCCCGAATCCAAGCCCTGACGTAATTTCTTTCCCATGAACGCCCGTCTCTTGCCCCAACAGCCAACTACAACCCAAAAGGAGCTCCACCGTAAGCAGCACCCACAACGCGGTAATCACAGCAGTATTCGCTTGGGGTCTGTCGCCAGGATCTTTTTCTTTCGGCCTGGCGGGCTCTCGTTGATCTCGGCCCTCTGGGGGCCGGCTCACGGGCTCCGGGACCATCAAACTCAGGAGGGGAAGAAACACACAGACACAATTAATTGTCGATTCCCCAGAATATGTAGGAAAATATGGCAAGTGTGGGGGGGAAGACGAACATCCAACCATATACAGGCACAAAGGGGGAATTCTGTCTTTTGTGTGTCTAACATTTGTGTGTCCTTGGGCCCCTTGACAAGCATTGCTGTGGGGCAGCAACACACTGGGCCCAGGAAACGGGCCCGGGGTTCGAGGGCCGCGCACTCGTACTCTGGAGACAGATCGGCGGGTGCCAGGCGCTGCGAGCGCTGCGGTGTGCAGCTGGCTTCGGCCCCGCCGCCGGGCGCTGTCGGGAGCCCCACCTGCACGAGCCGATGCGCTCGGCCCCTCGGTCGTCCGACCCGACCGTCTGCATCTCGAGCATCCGAGCCGGGCGCAGGCGGCCCGGGCTCGCCGCCCAGCACCTCGAGTCCCTGCGCCTCGTGCGCGAGGTGTCGCGGGGGAGGCTGGCGGACGACCGCGCGGGAGCTCGGGGGCAACCTCCGGGGTCAGGAGCGAGAGAAGGACGTGCACGTACATGAATCCACGCTGGTTTCGAGAGTTCGCTTTACGCGAATGTTCGTGTCACGCGGCAGGTCTCGCGGGTCCAGGGGCCGTGTTAATGTACATAGCTGGGTGCGTACGTCCTTTGTGGGCTCCCTATGGGGGGTGGAGGCAGGCTCGGGCGGTGTGCGTCGACCGCCCCTGGCCCATGCATCGCCGACAGTGGCCCGACGGCCCATGGCCCATCCCGCCCACCTGGGTCTTCCAGAGATGGGGTCCGAGCAGAGGGGGCCGCAGGATCGTGCCGCATCGCTGATGCATTGGCGATGCATCGCCGATGCGGCTCGATGTGGGGCCCGTAAAACCACTAAGGTTACAATCTTCAGACCTGGTACACATAGAGTACTTGACCTTAACTTGTGCAAGGCCAAGGTCATTTGACCTTGCTAGCCTTTTCAAGGTCCCACTTCAAGAACAACTCCCACTTCTCCCCAGGACTCCACGCCGTCGTCGCCGAGGCATCGCCGAAGTCGCCGGTGCATCGCCGCTGTACCGGCGATGCGGCGAGATCCCTGATGGTCCGCTACCGAAAATTTCCGGTAGCGCTCCGCAGAGATCGGTCGCTACCGAAATACCGAAATGTAGCGCCCAATACCGGTATCAGAGCGTTCTGAAATCCGCTATTTCAACGCCCTCAAACGAAGATCCGGTCGCTACCGAAATTCGGGGTGCGTCGAAATCGCTACCGAAAATTTCCGGTACCAGACCATCTGGGATCCTCCGACCCCACCTGCTCGGCCTCCCCAGCCGGGAGGCCTCGGGCCCAGGGGCCGCGTGGATTCGCCGTCGTGGACCTCTCGCCGAGCTGCAGGCGACGCGTCGCCGCTGCCTGAGCCCGCCCCCTCCTTCCTTCCTCCTCCCTCCTCCCTCCTCCCTCCTCCCTCCTCCCTCCTCCTTCCTCGTTCCTCCTTCCTGCTTCCTCTTCCTCATCATCCTCTCCTCCCTCCTCCTTCATCCTTCCTCCTTCCTGCTTCCTCCTTCCTCCTTGCTCCTTGCTCCTTCCTTCTCCTCCTCCTCCTCCTCCTCCTCCTCCTCCTTCCTCCTCCTTTTCCTTATAGATAACTCTTCCCTGCCGCTCCGCCTGCGGGCCAGTGTTTCAGGCGGGCCTGCCCCTCTGCAGGGGGGATGTTCAAGAAGCGTCAAAGAATAGCCTGGGGATCATTCTTGTTCAAAATACTGTTGAGCATGCTTTGATTTTCCGTTTTTTTTTTTTTTTTTTTTTTTTTTTTTTTTTTTTTTTTTTTTTTTTTTTTTTTTTTTTTTTTTTTTTTTTTTTTTTTTTTTTTTTTTTTTTTTTTTTTGTTTTTTTTTTAAAAAAAAAAAAAAAAAAAAAAACAAAAAAAAATATTATTTTAATTTTATTATTATTATTATTATTTAATCGCTTCGCTCATTCCGCCGGCCCATATTGTCGCACAGTTGTGGGCTAGCCGAGTTTTGGGGCCTCTTGGGGGCCGTTTTGGGGCCTCTTGGGGCCTCTTTTGGGCCTCTTGGGCGCCTCTTGGGGCGTCTTGGGGGCCTCTTGGGGGCCTCTTGGGGCCTTTTTGGGGCCTCCTGGGCGCCTTCTGGGGCGGAGGGCTCGATTTTTCAGTTCTCGGTTCCCCTCTTGAGCCCCTCTTGGGCCCGTCTTGGGGCCTCTTGGTCCGTCTTGGGCGGCACTTGGGCCGTCTTGGGGGCCCTCCTGGGCCGTTCCGGGGCCGTCTTGGGAGCCTCATGGGCCGTCTTGGAGCGGTCTTGGGGGCCTCTTGGGCCGTCTTGGAGCGTCCGGAAGCCGAAAAAGCCAGAACGCAAAAAACAGCGAAAAAAACAATGAAAATCAACGATTTTGGCCTCTTGGGGCCCTCTTCGGAGGCCTCTTGGAAGGCCCTTGGGGCGTCTTGGAGGCCTCTTGGGCTGTCTTGGGGCCCTGTTGGGCGTCTTCGGGCGATCTTTGGCCGTCTCGGGGCCCTCTTGGACCGTCTTGGAGGCTTCTTGGGGGCCTCTTGGCCCGTCCTGGGGCCCTGTAACAGGGCTCCGGCATCTCTGGCCCGACCTTGCGGGGACCTTGCCGGGGACCTTGCCGGGGACCGGCCGGGACCTGGTCGGGGTACTTTTCGTCTGGGGACCCCCAGGGGCCGCCCCGCGCGCGCGAAGTAGAAACATTGTAGAGCAGTTACCGGAGATTTTAGCACGCCTCTGGCCCGTTGGGCCGGCGAATTATTATTAATATATATATATATATATATATATATATATATATATATCTATATTTGTAGAGTCTAAAAAATCCGCCCGTGGGAGGACTCGCCCGACCTGAGCCGACGTGCTGCCCGCCCCGTCGTCCAGCTGTCGGGTCACAGCTCGGGCCTCCGGCGGCCGCCCGGGAGCGGCCGGGACACCCCCGGAGAGACGCCCTCGGCGGGGCTCGGCCGCTGGAGGGTGCATATCCCGAGGGCGGAGAGCCGCCGATAGAGGGGCCCTGGGACACACAAGTACGGTAGGTTCGTGCGGCGTTGGCGCGCAGGCGACGCCAGCGAAGGCGTTCAAGGTTGAATTCTACGACGCGGAAGCACCGATGTACACGTTAACGCCACTGGACCCGACTGAATTCAACCTTGAACGATCGGGCCCGCGATCGATTCAAGGTTGTACGATCGACGCGGTGTCAAAAACCTTGGCGCGCGCCGACGCCGCACGAACTTACCGTAAATACACACAAATAAGAAGACCCCCCTATTTTTCCATATCTTTTGGATTTTCGCCTCCCCCCCCCCCCCCCACACTTCCCATATTTTCCCATATCTTCCGGGGGATCGCCGATTCGTTGTGTCTGTGTGTTTTTTTCCTCCTGAGCCGAGGGCCGGCGAAGGCCGAGCTTCTGCTTCCCCTCAGGATCGCGCAGCGTGACGTTTTTCCCCGGGGACCTGGCTCCGGGCGACTTCGTGGCCGACCCCGGCACGGCGGGCTCCATCACGCTGATGGTGCCTCGAGGGAGGGAGACGCGCCGACCACGCTGGCCTCGCGGTGCCGTGTCGGCGCCGATCTGAGTCGTGGTCCCTGCTGGCCGTCGTGCCGATCTCGTGAGGGCGACGCACGGATCGGGGGCGATCAAGATGGACGGTATTTCGCGATCAAGCGCGCTCCACTACTCGCAAAGTGCCTACTCGCAAACGTCCGACAAACACATGTCCGCTTTGATGTGATTAATCGTAGATCCTCCGGGGGGATCCAGGCCATTTGCGAGCAGTTACTTTGCGAGTAGTGGGACGCGCTCGTCTAGTATTACCAGCCTGAAGCACGTCCCTATCCCCATGACTGGGCATCAAGTTATCTCGGTGCCGATCTTCGGATCCTTCCTGTTGGCTCAAGGCCTCAAGGCCTCAGGGCTATCGCCTGCCCGCCCCGCGGCCCGCGCCCGCGGCCCGCGCGCCCGCGCCTGCGTCCGTGGGTAAGCTGAGGTATTTCCAGTTCCTGCGGGCGCGTGCTTTTCCCGCTCTTCTCTCCTCCCCCCCCTCTTGTCTTCCAGCGCGAGTCCGTGGTGCGCTGTGAGGTGCTCATGGCTCGTGCTTTCCCTTCTGGCGACCCTGCAAGCGGTTGCCGTGCCAACGCGTCCTGCTGGATGTACGGCTTGTGTGGTGGTGGTGGTTGTGGTGGTGGTGGTGGCGGGCGCGTGCGCATTCATGTCGCAGCCCAGGGAGGAGGAGGAGGAAGAGGAGGAGAAGGAGGAGGAGGAGGCGGCGGAGGAGGAGGAGGAGGAGGAGGAGGCCGAGGAGGAGGAGGAGGAGGAGGAGGAGGAGGAGGAGGAGGAGGAGGAGGAAAAGGAGGCGCTGGCGGGGCGCTGCTGCGCCTGGGCGGCCCATGGCGCCTGGGCGGACCCGCCGTGCCGGGCGTGGGCGCCTGCGCGGTGCACCTCTGCAGCTGGGCCCGGCGGTGGCCGACCCCAGCCGGGCGCCCGAGCATCTCGGCACGAACGAAATGCTTGGCATCGCTCGGCCGGCACGAACGGAATGCTTGGCATCGCTCGGACGTGTGCAGTTTTCCTTCGGCGAGGACCATCGAGGAGCATCCTTGATCATTTGGCGAAGAAGCCACGCACGAAACCGAACAAAGCACAGGGAATGGACGTCCGAGCGATGGCCAGAATGGGTACGGAAAGAATGGGTACAATGCCCAACAGCAGTTCTTGTTCATTTTGAACAGGACTCGCTGTCCGCGCCGCCGCGGCCTGTGTCCGTTCGAGGCAGAAGGCCGCCTGCCCAACAGCGGCCGCTGTTGGTTTGGGACGTCATTTGTCGTTGGGCCTTGTGCCCGTTTTTTCCGTACCCATTTCGGGCGTCCAGAGCATCGATGCAGACCTCGAGGACGACGCGATGCAGAAGGACGATCAGAGCCCCGAATCCTCAGGGGCCGCTCGGGTCAGGGCCAACTCGGGTTCGTGTCTCGGGATTCCGGACCCGAGCTACCCCCGGGCCCGAGCCACCCCGGACAGCTCGGGCGCCCAAGACGAGGGCGGGACCGGCTCGGCGATGGACGTCCAGCGGGGCGGGCCGCTCCCCCCAGGGGCTGCCGCCCCCGCCCGCGCATGCGACGGTGGCGCCGTCGTCCGGCGCGGTCGCCGCAGCTGAAGCGCCGCCGCAGGCTGGGATTTCAGAGCCACAGTGGAGGCCAGTGCACAAAGAACCTTCCAGAAGAAACCCAACCCTGAGACCCCAGGGCGTCCATTGATTTCTGGTGCGGGGACGCCCGGCTTTCCAAAGAGAGACCATGGGAACCCAATAAGCCCAGGGCACCCGGGAGGCAAGCAGGGCGTTTCTCGGCATGGGCCTCCAGTGTGCCCGCCCAGCTGCTGCAGGACCTCGTGGAGGAGATTGCTCCTCCACGGCGTGGAGCAGCTCGTCGGCGCTGCCTGGGGCCACAGGCGGAGAGGTGCCAGGCGCCAGTGCTTGCCACCAGCCGAATCACTTCGTGGAGCTTTCTTGGCGAGCTCCTCGAACATGCGGCTTTCAGGCCGACGGCCAGCTGCTCCCAGCGTCGGATGGAATTCGCACCGCTGGAGGGGCCCGACCGAGGCCTCGCTCCACGGGCTGGCGGTTTGGCTCCGCATGGGCAATCTACTGTGCTCGGCAGCGAGGTCGCCAGCGTGGACGCCGCATGAGCGTGCCCAGGCAACTGAGGCGCTTGTAGCCTTGGATCGGGCACATCAGCAGTGCAGCGATATTTTTTCCCGAGATATTGCGGGAACGTCGACGCCTCCGCTCTCTGGCCCTCCCGCTCTGGCAAGAGCTGGGCGCATCAGCCATGCGATTGTTTTGAGGCACGGGGCCCGTCTCCACGGAGGTCGCTGTCACACAGTGGTCGGACATCGGCCTTGACGTACGTGCACTGGGCTCAGGCACTTCCACGGGGGTGCGGCGCCAGTGGGGGACGGCCGGTCCCTCGCGGAATTGGCGAACAAGGGAGACGCACGATTGTGGGCCAAGCTGTGAAGCCGCGCATTGCCCTTTGTGCGCCCACAGACTCCCCCAGCCTGGGGCGCCTGATCAACGCGTGCATGCGGCTCCCCCCAGTTCAAGGCCTGCCGTGCCTCCGCCTCCTTGCCACGTTCGAGGTCTTCCTTGGCTGCCGACCGATCCCTGCCATCCAGGACCTCTTGTGACACCCGCTGCTGGGGGGGCGCTGGACGCCAGCCATGAAGCGGGTCGTCTACGCCGCAGCGCCGCTGAATATGTTTCTGCCTGGGTCGCAGCCCCCGCCACGTATCCCGCGGCTTGGCCATCTTCACAGTGGCAGCGCAGTGGCCTTGCGCCCCGCCTGTGTGTTGCCGAGCGCAGCACCGTTGCTGCAGGCGGCGTCGGCTCCGACCTACAGGGTGGAATTCCTCGCGGAACGGCTCCCAGAGATCCTGCGCATTCTTGGCGACCCCAGCTTGTCCAACGTTCGGGCGGGCCCGCCGCGCCGCGGCATGGTTTCGACATCTGCGGTCAAACGCCTGTGCGTGAAGTGGGCATTCCCGCTCTCCACGCCGCTTGGGCTGGAGCTGCTCTGGCGGCGCATCCGCAGCGCCCGCCCTCCGCCAGGGATTATACTCGGCTCCGTTGTCCTGTCCGCAGGCGTGAGCGCGCTCCTCTGCGAGCCCGCGCGTGCGGAGGCTGCGCTGCGCGCGTGGGCCCTCGGCGCGCAGCTCGTGGCACCGAACGCCGACAGGATTTTGCTGCGCGCGGACGCGGGCCCCGACGTGTGGCGGCCGAAAGCTGCCGGAGATGATGCAGCAGGACGCGCAGACGGCCACCCCACGCTTGAAGTGGCGCCCCTCCCAGCACGGAGGGGCCGCGCCGGCGGCCGCGACGGCCCGGTTGGCGGCTGCTCGGCGTGCGATGGGGGGCCGCTTGGGCCAGGGCGAGCCGACGAGCCTCGTGGCCGAGGTCCAGGTGTGCGGCCCTCTCAGGCTATGAGTGCCCTGGACGTGCGCTGGCAGCTGATGGCGCATTTAGGGCAGGTGGCCAGGGCGCAGCTGGCTGAGTCCGCCGTTGACGCGCCCGCTGGTGGCGCTGGCCAGCGGCTGCGGACGTCGCGGCTGCTCCTGGATGGGCGCGGCTGTTCCCGCGGTCGGAGGAGGAGAAACGGGTGCAGGCTGTCCGAGCCGCTTTCCACGAGCAGACCACCCAGGCGGGGATGGACCTCGTCGGGCTGAGGGTCGCCAGCGACGTCCTGGACATGCCGGGAAACGGCGGGCGGCGGCGGGGGGCATGGCAGCCCGCCTCCGCAGGGAATTAGATCGGGCAAGACGCAGGCCTGGAGCCGCTGTGGACGGCGGCCCCGCAATTCAGGCGATATCTCGTCTGGGGCGCGTGTTCTCCAAAATCGGTATCACTTTGCAGATCCTCTCCGCGCCGCCCAGGGCCCTGGGCGACGCGGGTCATGGAGGCCCCGGGTGTTGGTCTATTGTTTTTCTTTCATTTCATTGTGCTCTTGGCTATCGTCCGGCAGGCGATTGACCTCGTGGACTGCGTGCGGAGGCGCTTCTGGCTTTTTGCGCCCGCGTGCGCCTTCGCGCGGCTTTGGGGCCCCACCCGGTGCTGCCGGGGCCAGCAGCTGCTCCTCCAATGGGCGGGGCATTTCGCGGGGCCTTGTCAGCGGGCGCCTGGGGTGCCCGAGAAAAAAAATCGTCCGACCCCCAGCGGTTGCCCAGTATTATCCACGAGATATGGTGGCCGATTGATTCGGGGCTACGACGCTGTACTCCTGATCAAGGCTCCCAGTGTGGCAGGCGTTGCGGACGCCTGGATTAGGCCCCGATGCTGTCAGGCGTGGTGGTCACGCGGCTCTTGAGCTCGGGCCGGCGCGGGGATCCTGCTGCGCGATCGGTTCGCCGCAGCCTTCCTGGAGCGGGAGTGGCTCGGGATCGACGCTGGTCGCGCTGCCGTTCCACGATTGGGCGGGCCGCAGGGGCATCTAGACCTCGCGGCGATGTGCGGCCCCGCTGTGCCGTTGACGCCCTCCGTCCGCAGCCGGCGCCCCGCCCCGACGCAGCTGTGGCGGCGCCCGCTCCCCCCGCGCTAGCGCGGCAGAGTGCCGCGCTGAGGGGCCGAGTGGCGGGCGCGCTCCGCAGGGCGATCTCGGTGCTGATTGCGGTCGCTGGGGGCTTCCATTGGGTGGCGGAGCCGGCAGGCCGCGCCGCTTGCGGGCGCTGCCTCCGGGAGTCTCGACCAGGCCGAGGAGCCAGCTGGTGAACCCCGTCGGGCTACGCGAAGTACACCAGCTGGCGATGGCCCATCGCAGAGGCAGCGCATTTTCTTTCGCGCCTGGACCGCATCTATTGGGATCGGCGTGCCTCGGAGCAGCTGGACCGCGAGTGCTTCTCTGTGGCGCTGGAATGGGTGCTGCGGCTGTCCCGTCGCCGGGCGGTGGCGGCCGGCAGGCGGGCGCCGGCGCGCGCGCGGGGCAGCGTGCCTGCCCAATGCCAGCAGCTGCCGCGACGCACGAGGCGTGGGGGCACCAGGTTGCGCTCGCGTTCCGTGGCTTCCTTCGCTCCGAACGCACGGCTGCTCCATTCCGACGGCTGGGTTTGCTGAAGGACGCGATGCATGTTGTTGGTGGGTGGGTGTGTGTGGGGGGGGGGGGGGGTCGCCCGGGGGCGATCGCGCCAGATGCCGACCGGGGCCTGCGAGGGCTGCTTGAGGGTCGCCATGAAATTCTTCCGAGGGGTGGAAGATGACTTCGTGGGCGCGGTCAGCAGATGCTTGGGGCGCTACCCCGTACTTGCCACCCTAGTCGACAAGCCCTGCGCGCCGGAGTTGCGCGCGGCAGGCGGGCTTCAGAGGGCGCGGGGTCACGCGGTAGGCTTGGGAAGGCTCTCCGCCCTGGAAGCGGCCGTCGCCGGAGGGCGGGCGCGGGGGCTCCTCGCGCGCGTAGCCCCGGTGCGCGGGCGAGCCTTCGAGGCTGTCCTTGCAGCGATCGGGGCGATGCGCGCGAGTCTAGATGGCGTGGCTGCTGCGATTCGGTCGCGCTGCTGTGGCGTCTTCAGCGCCGAACGTCTGGGCGGCGCGCTCCAGCTGCGGTGGCTGCAGGAGGCGGCGCGCTAGGGAAGCGAGCGGCGGGCCGCGGCCCCCTGGCGGGGGCGGCCCGCGGCGGCTATCCAGTCCAGGCGCGGCCGAAGATATTCAGCGGGATCTTCCACAGTACAACGACGGCCTGATGGTCTTTATCCTAGATGCAGCCACAGCGGAAGGCCCAGGCGGCACCCTCCAGCAGTCGCCTTCGGACACCTGGCCGCTGGGCCTGGTGGGCGCTGACAGCGGCTTCTGCTCGGCGCATTTCGCCGCAGTATGGGGCCCCTGCTCGCCGTCGGGGCGCCCCCCGAGAGGCGAGGCTTCGTGGGGTGGGGTGGGGGGGGGGCGGTCGATGATGGCCAACGTCGTCGACGTGTGCGGGGCCGTGCAAGCCGCGGCGCCCGCCGCGGAGGACGGGGCCGCGGTCTTCTGTGACAGCGCGGCGGCCTTCCCGAGTGTCGGCCAGGACTTCTCGCTCGACGTGCCCGGGGAGTCGGGCGTCCTTCAGCTGGTGCTGTGCTATCTGCTTTCCTCGCAGTTCCGCGGCCGTTGCCAGCTTGAAGTCGGCGGCGGGGCCCGCGAAGGCTTTCCTGTGACGACTTGGATTCGCCGGGGTTGCCCGCCCTCCCCGCTGGTGTTCGCGGTTGACGCCGACCCGCTGCCTCGCCGACGTGGCCGGGCACTCCAGGGCGCGACCCGCCGGGTCTACGCAGATGATCTCGCGCTGGTGGTGGCCGAAGGCCCCGCTGCTGCCGGCGCCCTGGAACGGATGTTTGCCGAGCATGCGGCGCGCGCCTGGGCTCCATCTGGATCTGGGAAGACTGCGGTCTGGATCCCGCTCCGCTTGGGGGGCCCAGCTGCGGCGCACCTGGCGGCGCTCGCCCGCGCTCCGCCCTGGGGGGGCCTGCGGTTTGCGCGCTGCGCCAAGTACCTTGGCTTCCTGCTTGGGCCTGCTCGCGGGGGGCAAGGATGGGTCTCGGCTCGTGACAAGTATCTGCAGCGCGCCTGAGCATGGGGGCGCGCTGGCGGCGGCGTGTGACTCAGCGCCGTTGCCTGCAGGGTCCGCGCTTTCTCCATTCTGACTTCCCTGGCGCAGCTGGGCGAGCCGCCTTTCGGGTGGCCGCAGCTTCGAGCGAGAGCTCTGCAGTCGCTGCGCCCAGGCCCTCGGGGGTGGACGCCCCCCCGCTCTCCTTCCTCTGCGGCCTCCCGCAATTCGGCTTCCCGGGCAGTCTCGACGACCTGGGCGTCGTGGCCCTTGCTGCGGAGCGCCGGGTTTGCCCCGGCCGAGGGCGGGCCCGATGTCGCGGCGAGAGCAGAGAGACTTCTGCAGGCTGCAATCTTCTTGCCTTGCTTTCGTCTTCGCTTTTTTCCCCCCGCTGGCTCGACAAGACGCAAGGATTTTTTTTTTTTTGTTTTTTTTTTTTTTTTTTTTTTTTTTTTTTTTTTTTTTTTTTTTTTTTTTTTTTTTGTTTTGTGTGGTGGTATTTCCGTTGGCTTGCCCAGATGCCCACGGTGAGGGCCTGTGAACTGTCTTGTCCGAATATTCCCCTCAACTTTCCTCTTTCTTCTCCGACAACAAGAAAACCACTGTGGTCCGAGAAAACAAGTTTCTGAGGACGTGCCCCCAGGATTTGCGATGCCTCTTGGCTGGTTAATTAACCTTAGGGATCGTAGAGAACTCCAGACTCGCTAACGGTGGCCAAGATCAGCACCGACGTTTGCCGCGTTCAGTCTTGCCGGCGAGAATATCCGAACCCTATCGTCGCCGATCAACGATGCAGGCAACTCGATGGGCGCGGGGGCTGGGGCGCGGAATTCGTCGAGCACGTGGCGAAATCTGACCCCTGCCTTCGCCTCCCATCGATTCAGGAGAGTCGATGGCTAGTGGGAGGTAGGGTTCGGATGTCGCCGCCCATCCCAGCCACGGCCACCGTGCTCTTTCACTGCAGGTGCAGGCGGCGCTGCCCCTGCTGCTTTTCGCGGGGGGCGCGAGCACTTGCGCGCTGCGCGGGGGCACTCCGGGCCTCTCACCTGGGGTCCGAGTGGGCTGGGGCCAGGGGATCGCGCCGCCTCGGCGATGCGGCTCGCTGCGGAGCCCGCTTGTCTCCACGCCGACGGCGCCGATGCATCGCCGATGCGTCGCCGATGCATCGCCACTGCATCGCCGACGTATCGGCGATGCACCGGCGATGCGGCGCGATCCTCCGATCCCGTCTCGTCGGACCCCAGTTGGGGTGCCTCCAGGCACGGACGTGGGCTTTAGCCCGCCCCTGGACTACGTGCAAAGGGTGCTGCGGCCCACCCTGGGGCGCATGGGCGCCGGCTTCGAGCTGGAGTGCCAGGCAGGGCTGGACCTAAGCGGTGTTTCTGGCGATTTCGTGGGCGGGTTTTCGTTTCGTCATCGTTTTGCGGCAGGGGCGGATGGAGAACAAAACGAGGGACAACGAAACCAAAACGAAAGCGAAAGACACCGTTCAGGTTCAGCCCTGGTGCCAGGGGCGCGGCTTCTTCCCGAAGGGTGGCGGCAGCGCGCTCCTGAGGCCGAGAGACTGAATGAACATACGTTTGCGGGAGCCCGCGCGGGCGTTTTGATCGGCGCTGGACTTCCGTCGCTGGCGCGCGGAGCGCGCCAGGGGCGGCGCCGCCAGGGGGGACCAGCTCCGATGCAAAATGTCTGAGCGGACCTCTGGCAGTTTCTGCGTAACCCTCGGTCGTTGAAAGTAGGTATTTGGGATTCCCAGGTTGCAATATGCCTTAAGCGCCTTCCTCCTTCAAGGGTCGAGTGGCTCCCCCTAGTCCCTCCTCACGATGGGGCGGGCGGACACCCGATCTGCTTTCAGCGCCCTCCTGCCTCATGGTTGTGCCCACCTCTTCTGGCCGAGGGGTATGTTTTCTCAAGGACCGACCATTGTTATTTTAAACGCGCCGTTTCGTCGTTCGTTTTCGTTTGGCACTGGCATCGTTCTAAACGTCAGTTTTAAACGTTGGGCCTCGTTTCGTTCTTCGCTGTAAGCGCCATTTCGCTTCAAACCTCGTTGTGGTCGGTCACTGTGTTTTCTTCTTTGGATTCTATTGTCAGTGCCGATGCCGCTGCCCTTCTTCGCCGCCACGGGCAGATGCGGCTCGAGGTCCTCGTCCGAGCACCCTCCTGGAAAGAGAGAGAGAGAGAGAGAGAGAGGCACAGTCGGGCCGAGGTGTCGGACCGGGGTCGGTTCGGGCCAGGGTGCCCTCACGATCTTCGTGCTTGTCTTGGCGGTGCGCAGAGGGGGGGCAGGTTTGAGTCGGGCCTGTCCCTCTACGGGGGGAATCTTCAAAAACAGTCAAAAAATTGTCCGGGGACGATCTTTGGTCCACTTCTGATCATGTTGGTGTCTTTTTTGGGGTATTTTTCCTTGTTCGTCCAGACTTCGCCTGTAGGGGGCCACGGCCGACCTAATGGGCAGGTTCGAGTCGGTCCAGCGCGCCGCGTGTCGTCGCCACTGGCGGCGGTCCGGGCTGGGGTGTGGAGGCCGCCCCCGGTGAATGCCTCGAGGGGCCGGCCGAGGCCAAGCCTCAGGCCGGGCGCGTCCCTCCGCCGGCGGCACGCTCAAGGATAGTGCAGAAATAGTCAGGGGACGGTCATTCTTATGTCGGGCCTGTCCCCCTACAGGGGGATTTTCGACGAAGAATGAAAACTACCCCCAAATGGTCAAGAAATAGTCCAAACATAGTCTGGGGAGTAGCTTTTTTTGTTAGTTTTTTTTTTGTTTTTACTTTTGGGGTATGTTTGGGATATTTTTTATTTTTCGTTGAAAATCCCCCTGTGAGGGGACAGGCCCGACATAAGGTTATTCGCTACCGTCCACTGGCGGAAGGTTCAGTCTGGCTACTCACTACCGACGGCTGCGCGGAGGGATGTGAGGTACCTGTTCCGCTGCAGGCGCGTCGCCATCTCTGGCCAGTGCTTCCCTTTCCGCTTCGGGCGCCGTGGGGGGCGGCGTGTCGGAATTGAAATTGCAGGAGTGAAGAAGAAAAAGAAAACTAATCAGGGGACGATTTCTACACTACGTTTGAATTTTGGTCAGAGTATTGTCTGACTGGTTTTGAGGTGTGGTCCAAAATCCACCTGAAGGGGGACGCGCCTGACCTCAGGGCAGGCGGAGGGGGCAGGGCTCCTCAGAAGCAGCCGCCGCTTTTCAGAAGCGGCGGGCCCTGTCTGTAGACGTGCAAGGCCCGCGCCCTCTAAGAGGCAGCCTCCTTCTAAGAAGCCTTCCCCCCCTTCCCCCGACCCCAACGGTTGGATGTTCTCGTGCCTCCTGGGGAGGGCACCCCTGCGTGATGTTCTGCGTGCTTCGGCCGGCGGAGGGCCCCGCGCTCTCGAGGGGTGGTCTTCTCTGCCCAGGTCCGACCGCGTCCCCCGGCACCCGCCAGTCTGTTTTTCGCTTCACTCACCGAGCGCGTTCCACGATGTGCTTGCAAAGTGCCTCCTCGCAAACGTCAGAAACAGAAACGCGTGTCTGCCGTGATGCAAGCTGTCGCAGGTCTCCCGCGGGGGATCCAGGCCATCTGCGAGTAGTTGCTTTGCGAGTAGTGGAACGACCTCGTCTATTCTTGCGCGGCCCCAGAAAGAGATAGAAAGAGAGAGAGAGAGAGAATCGTGTGTAGCCAGGACCCCAGGTAAGGGGACCCGGTTAGTGGTAGGGCCCCGGAGCCCCTAAATTGGGCAGAATCACTAAACCAAGTCTGCTGCAGCTGGTGTTATTTTCGGGTGATGGCAGTTCCGGTTAGTAGAATGGGGCGGGGGGGCGTCCTCCAGTACATATCATCACTAAACCAGGTCACTACACCCAGTTCGGCCAACGCCCGAGAGAGGCCCCGAGCCTTCTTTTCCCAGGGCCGGAGTGTCGCCCCGAGCTCATTTGTGGTGGCCCCGCGGCCTGATGACGGCCTCCCGAGCTCGAGCAGTGGCGAAGCGGCCTGGCTCGGGCCAGACAATGTTCTAAGAACCTTTTGTGGTTGCCACGAAACGTTATCAGAACATTCCTGGTTGAGGTTATCTTGTTTTATCACATCGGGATTCTGTTCAAGGATCACTGTTTTTGTTCATAGAACATGTTTGGTTTCTGAGAACATTACGTGGTAGGACTACAGGAATACCGGGACGGTTGGTCCCTGTTCAAGAGGCCGAAATCGAGCAACAACGCCAAGAATGGAGACCTTCAGGCTTATCAGGCCCACGCGCACGGCGAAGGGTGAAAAGGTCTCGTATCCCGGGTGGCAAGTCGAGATGATTGAACACGTTCGAGAGGTAGGCTTCGGAGATGTGCAGGGTGTCGTCCTCCCCCTTTTCTAAGATACCAAAGGTCTCTGGCGGAGCTCCTATTTACCAGCCGACGGTGGCACACCAGGTCTGTTCGGGAATGACACAATGCTCTGATAATCGTGTTTGTCTCCCTTCTGAGAAGAGAGGCGCGGCCCTTTTCCTGAGTCAGAGGCCCATCGATCTTGAACGGCAATGGTCAAACAGCATACTAAATGCACCCTGGTTCAACACCACATTTGTGCTAAGCAACATGCGCAGAGACGGACCAGGAACAAACCTACATATCAATCTAATGGGATTCACATTGACACGGGCGGAAAAAGGAGTTGGCACAGCTACCTCACATAACAGAGATTGCGGCAAACAACAATTGAAGGGTCCCATAACACTTAGTCCGGAACTTCACTAAACAACGCGAGGTCAAACTCTCGCGACCAGTTTGCGTCCATGGCAGACGAAACTATTGTGAAAGCAGGCTCGGCATCTGCGGAGACTTCCGCTGGCACAAACCTGCACAGCACGAGTGTCTACGAAGTCGGCAAGGTCGTCAGCCTTGCTCTTAACACTCTTCTCGTATCCTTCATTAGCAGCGCAGGTGAGCGTTCGCTCCTCGCCCTTTCATTGCAAAAGGCAAAACGACGGGGCATGGTCCCATCTTCACCACTCGCGCCTCGTCCGCAGCGGCGCTCCCGCCGCACGGCCTGCAGGCGTCGTAGGCCACCATCCTGTTCGCGCTGCGCATGCCGCCGCAGCATCCTGTCCTTTCGGAACCGTACACCGTACACCCAGCCGTCGCACTGCGCCTGGTCAATGGCGTGGTGGTGGTGGTAGATCTCTCAGTGCTGCATGCCTCTTGTTCGTCGGGCTGGTCGTTCTTCTTGTCATCGTCGTTATGCTCGTTGGCTCCACCGCGCAACCGTCAGTACAGTCGGGGCCCTGAAGAAGGAACCCTTTTCGTTGGGGAGGGGCTCCGCGTTCCCTATGTGTTCCACAGCTTGCCTCAGGCTTTCCTTATGTTTCCGACAGGAAATCGAAGTTTAACTCATGGAAAAAAAGGGGCCTCGTTCCTTATTTAGGGTTCCTTAGGTCAACGCCCCGACTGTACAGTGTCCATGGGGTCGTTCATCCGCTGCCGCCGGCCGATCCACAGGCCCATCTTCACTCCCAGGGCATACTCCAACCAGCCCTCCACAAGGGGCGGAGCTCCCAGCGCGGCTGGGCGCAAAACATCGCCATCGGGTCGTGATCGCTTCCCGAGTCCAACACGCCAGCGGACATGTGCAGGGTCGTGTTCGCGAGGCCCGGAGTACTCGTGGGCGTCCTTGCTGCGATCGCTGCCGCTATCTTGCGGCCGCTGGCGCCAAACTTGCATCTGCTGGTGTTCGCGAATTCGTCGCCAGCCTGCTCCAGCTCACGTTCTCGCTGCTCCACCCGTCGTTTGGTGAGCTTCTTGCATGCTACGAAGTTCGGGACGTACTTCAGCGCGTGCACCTCGCGTCTGAGGGTGTCGGCCGCTGTCTGGCGGCTGCTGAACTCGGTGCGCCCGTCGGCCAGCTGCTGCTTCGTATTGACTTGACTCACTTCCAGGCCGCTTCGATCTCCAGCATCTGCTCGTTCACGATCTTGACTTCGATGGCGGTGCGCTTCTCGGAAACCCCGAGACCAGTTGTCGCACTACGCGAGGCGTCGTGCAGGCATTTTGCGTCCGTGATGAATGGCGACTGACCCGGGTACGTCATCGCCTCCTCCGTTCTCAGGTCAGGTCGCTGGCTGAGCGTCATGTAGGTCTTCACCCACATGAGCGCGTCCACACCCAGCGCGGCTGCCTGGGCCTCCGCGGAGAGCGAGCTCGAAGCCGCTGCAGCTTCTTTAAAACCCACTCCGTGACCACGATCGGCGTAGTTGGTCCGACGTCCAGCTCCTCGGCGGGTCCCTTGACTACCCTCTAGCCTCCCTGGGAGCTCCCATCCGGGCGGCTGGCCCAGCTTGCGTCCAAACTAGCTCCCACGCGTAGCGACCTCTACGATCTGTCGAGTCCGAAATCCACCCCGACGTCGGCGTTGGACGTCAGGACACGCAGGTCCTTGTTCGCGCCAGCACGTCCTGCGCGGTGGCGCTGCCGGTGGCGGCCGCACGGAGCGAGGCGGCGGTCGCTGCAAGCATCGTGCCCTAGGCCGCTGGCCACTGCGGGTGGTCGTTGAGCGTCTTGAGGTCGGTGAGCTCCTCCGCCGACAACGG